TTTGGTTGTTTGCCCAGTGCTTTAGTTTTTGCTGTTTATTTGTTTTCAATTTTTTTTCAATTTTTTTCAATTTTCAATAGGATCAATTTTCATTCTTCTACATGTTGTCCTCCAGTTGAACCAGCACCATTTGTTGAAAATGCTGTCCTTTTTCCACTGGACAGTTTTAGCTCCTTTGTCAACGATCAAGTGACCGTAGGTGTGTGGGTTCATTTCTGGGTCTTCAATTCTATTCCACAGATCTTCCTGCCTGTCTCTGTACCAATACCATGCAGTTTTTATCACTATTGCTCTCCAGTACAGCTCGAGGTCAGGGACGATGATTCCTCCGGAAGTTCTTTTATTGTTGAGAATAGTTTTTGCTATCCTGGGTTTTTTGTTATTCCAAATGAATTTGAGAATTTCTCTTTCTAACTCTGTGAAGAATTGAGTTGGGATTTTGATGGGGATTGCATTGAATCTGTAGATTGCTTTTGGCAAGATGGCCATTTTTACTAAATTAATCCTGCCAATCCATGAGCATGGGAGATCTTTCCATCTTCTGGGATCTTCTTCAATTTCATTCTTCAGAGACTTGAAGTTCTTGTCATACAGATCTTTCACTTGCTTGGTTAGAGTCACACCAAGATATTTTATATTATTTGTGACCATTGTGAAGGGTGTTCTTTCCCCTATGTTGATGTTCAAAGGAAGTCACAACAGGAGCTCAAGCAGTGCAAGAACGGGGGCGGGGGGAGCAGGAACTGATGCAGAAGCCATGGAGGGTACTGTTTACTGGCTTGGTTACCATAGCTGCATGGTTTCTTATGGAGCACAGGGTTACCAGCCCTCGAATGATACCACCCACCAAGGGCTGTGCCCTACCCCACTGATCACTAATTGAGAAAAATGCCTTACAGCTGGATCTTACAATTATTTTTTCAAGTGAGGCTTCTTCTGCTCTGATAACTCTAGTTTGTGTCAGGCTGACATAAAATCAGTCAGTATCTTAGTCATGTATGAATGATGAATTTCTAATTCTGTAAGTGTATCACAATAATGTAAGACTAGGGAACACTGGGTGAGGGAACACCAGAAATTTTTTTCTACTCTTTGGCACTTTTCTGCAAAACTAAAATATTTTTTCTTTCTTTCAAAAAGCAAAGCTTGCCGGGTGGTGGTGGTGCATACCTTTAATCCCAGCACTTGGGAGGCAGAAGCAGGCAGATTTCTGAGTTCGAGGCCAGCCTGGTCTACAGAGTGAGTTCTAGGACAGCCAGGGCTACACAGAGAAACACTGACTCAAAAAACAAAAAACAAAAAACAAACAAACAAACAAAAGGTTAAAAGTTCAAATGCATAATGACTGCAGGTCTTTCTTCTAGATTAATTCCTGGCTCGACATATTTCAAACCCTCTTTTTCCTTCACCAGGGTTTGGTACCAGGTGCCATGTTGATAGGCTCATTGTGTCTCGGTATTGAATGAGATGGCACACAGCCGGGTCAGAATTCTTAGAAATGATTCCATTATTAGGGGAAGCAATAATTTGGGATGAAATTGCTCAGGTTTCAGTCATTGCTCTTTCATCTAGATTGTCAAAAGTCCAGGGTCACTTAGGCCATTTGAGGGTAAAGCAAGGTAGGAAGAAAGGGGAGTTGTAAAGAAAAAACAAAGCCATCTCCAACTGATGGGTGCTATCAGATATCCTTCTTCTCAAACATAGACAATCACGTAGGCCTGTGTGGTGTCACGAAGCTGGGAGTCACCTGTGGGACACACAGCTGGTGATCAGATATCCTGAAACAACTATTAGCTTAGCAGTAAATCCTACAACTACTTCAGAAGCAGCAGTCCTTTGGTAGGAATGGTTACCCTGGTCTGTGGTCCCCGTCAGTTCAATTCAGCAACTTTTGTCTTTTCATCAAGCTTCCAACTATGCATTCCTCTCTGAACTGTTCTCTCAGGCTTCCCTCCCCCAGCCTTGGTCATGGTCTTTCAGGCTCTTTTGTACTTACATTATAACACTTGTCACATACGTTAACCTTGTTTTGATCTCCCTGCTATAGGGTATAGGGTATAGGATCACTCAGGGTGTGGTTCAACGCCCCCCCCCCCCCCCAAAAAAAATCTTTGTACTGTCATAGTGGGCTCCCAACAGGCGGTTGTTGAGTAACTGAACTGAAGCTCTTGATGAAATACAAAGCAGTAGTCAGGAGGAATTTAGGCCATCGGAGCAAGAACACCAGCGCTCCAATGTCCACCCAGCGATGTGGGAATGAGAGGGTAAGAGAGAAGGCTAACAGCAACTGCCGCTGCCCAACTCCCGTCCCAACTCTCCCACCCTTGTCCAGATTGTTTTGGACATAGGTTTTCCAGTGGAATAAGATGGTCTTCAACTCTGGATCCTCCAGCCTCCAACGTGAAACTGCTGGGGTTACTATGCATGAGCCGCCACGCTCAGCTAGGAGCGGCCCCTTGAAATACTGATAGGCTTTCCCTTCATGTTTTATCACACCCACACACATTACCATGCTGCTTATAGCTAACTTGACACAGACTGATCATAGTTTCATGACAAGGTTATTTGAAATCTAGAATAGCCCTTCCTAAAAGGAATGCGCACCAATTAGGCAGACTTTGAGGTGTGGTAACTGACTGCAGGAAAAGAAAGTCTTCATTTCCTCTGAGCAGCGCCTTACACTCCTCCTGAACATACTTGCCAGATGTGAGGCTTGAAACAGAGATCTCCCTGGCGGACACAAGTCCCCATAGAGCTTGGGGATGAGAAAGAGCCTTTGCTTGACACTGGCTGGGTTAGGTTAAGGATTCAGCTCTTTTCAGAGGGCACACACTTGAGACTTCACATGGAATGTGGATCTTCCTACACCCTGAAGGGGCGAAGTTTGCCAACAAAAGTATCCCGGGCAGACGCAGGGAGACAAAGCGCGGTACAAGAGAAAGCACACACCCCTTACTGGGCCCCGCGCGTGCGCACAGAGACCGGGAAAGGTAGCCGGTCTGGCCGGGGTAGCAGACACGCCTTCGGCCCGCCGCTCCTGAGCCCGCCCCCGAGCCGCAGCGAGCTGCTCACTGGCCAGCCTGGGCCGGGCCAGGGGCGGGGATTGGCTGATTGGCATAAGGTCCCGAGACAGCCAATCTGGAAGGCTGAGTAGCTGGGAAGGTGAGGGCTGCCGCGCAGCTGAGGTGAGTGGGGGCCGGGACGTGGAAAAGCGGTTGGCGAGGTGGGCAATGGCTACCACCCGGAGCTGGACGGCGGCGAGAGGCCGCGGTGTGGACTAGGGAGGGGACAGGGCGCGGCGCAGGAGGCCAGCGAGCGGGAGGGAGGCCGCGGGAGCCGCGAGCGGAGAGCAGTCCTTTAGCTCGCCGGCGCCTGGCCTGCTGAGCTCCGCCAGCCGCCGGCCTGGCTCCCATCCCCCGCCGTCGGCGATGCGCCCTCGCTGGATCCGGGCTGGGACGCGGAGCAGGGCGACCCAGGGCGTTCAACTTGTTCACCGAGCTCCACGTTCCTGTCATTTTCGGCTGGCAGCCCTGAACTTTCTAGCCATGCGCAGTTTGCGTGTAGCCTGAGTACGGAGACTTTGAGATCCGCAGTCAAACTAACCAAACTTTGCTTTCCCACTGATGGTTTGTTGTATGATTGGTCTGATGTAACCTCTTCTAGCAGTCACCTCATTTTGTGCTTGAGGATGGTCAATAGAAGTTCTAATCCTCCTCCCCCCACCTCCCAAGTGCAGGATTTAAATCTTGCTTCACTACACTCAGAAAAAAAAAATTTAAGGAGTATTTCACAGTTCTTGGGAATTTAGCGTAGACTTTTTTGTTTTGTTTTGAGTTGTGTCTTCCTTACTCCAGGCTGGGGTGGAATGCTCTATGTAGATTAGGTTGAGCAGCCTAGAACCTAGGTCAACCTCCTGCCTCAGTCACCACGCCCAACTCCATGAATAATCTTTTTGTAGAATCCAGTCACAATTTCCTAGTGTATGTAGCTGTTTTACATTACAATGACTTAGTCCAGGAAGTTGTAACACTTCACCGTGTCTTACTCTGTAGTTACATGAAAGTTAGTCTTGTCCACCTCACTCCCTTCTGCCTCTAGGTTTGAGATGTGGGTCTCACAGAGTCCTGGCTGGCTTGCAGGTTGATATATAGACCAGGACACTACAAACCCCTCCCCACCCCCGAAAAAAAAGTTGTATGACACACATCTAATCCCAGTACTTGGGTAACAGAGGCAAGTAGATCTCTTTGATCTTTGATTTCCAGACTAGCCTGGTTTGTATAGTGAGTTCCAGGCCAGCCAGGGCTATATAGTAAAACTTAGTCTTAAAAAGACCAAGCTTTAAGTTACTTTACACATGAGATTACTATAGTAAATACTCATTTAATATATAACGGCAATACACTGGGGAGTTGAAGCAGGAAGATGGTAAGTTCAGGCAGCCTGGGTTATAGGATGAGAACCTGTCTTAAGAGGAGGAGGAAAACAAAAACAAAAACCCAGAAAATGTATTCTATCCTGTTTGAAAAGTTACAGCAATACAGAAGTTTGTAAATGCAAAAACAGTGTTTTAAAAAAGGAAAATGTCATTAGTTATTCTCAGATGCTGCCAGAGTTATCTCTTCCTCAGTATTCATCAGGTATCTATTTCACCACTGGTTTTGTGGATCTGTGGTATGTGCAGATGTGTTTGCAAATACTGGTGTTTTTTTGAGACCGTCTCTTACTGAGCCTGAATGGAAGCTCAAGACTTCAGCTGGGCTAGCTGACTGTGGCCTACAAGCTACCAGGAGCCACTTGTTTCCAATCTCAAAACTGGGCTGCACGCGTGTACACAACCATGGTCATGAGAAAACCAATTCCCATGTTGTCTGCTGACCACATATATAGAAAAATGTATGTAAAAGTTAAAAATTATTTTAAAAAAGAAGGTAATAGAAATGGGTTCACCATTATGTACAACCAAGTTTGACTATAAAGTGCTTACAAGCTAAGAAAAGTCTCTGTCACAATGTGCAGTTAACTCTGTACCAACACCCTGATCTTTAAACTGAAATGCAAGTCTAGTAACTGAAGTGCAAACTTAAGGTTTCTTTAGAAAGTTGGTTGAATGGTGTTTTGTTGGGGCAAACACATGAAGGAACATTTAGCTGAAGTGGACACAGGTGAAAGGATGTTCTGCTAAAGCAAACATGTGAAAGGACATGTGATGAAGGATTCTTTGCTAATGACATGCATGTATTGATCCACTTTACATTGTGTAGTTGAGCTGCATTTGTCAGACTCTAGAGAGAAACACCGCATAAAACTTCTGGTGGTATGCTGCAGTTTCCGGCTGCTTCTGCGGAATCGGGCTGATTATCAGAGTGACGTCAGTTGAGATGGATGCACATGTCCAGACAAGACCCGTGGAGGACACATGATGTTTGGAGGATGTGATGGACAGTGATGGAGACTGAGCTAGGCTTGCTTATAGAGCTAGCAGTGCAATGCTTGTGGGTACTCTCTTGTGGCAATCTGTAACCCCAGATGTAAGTGGTAGGAAGCTCTCTTCTGGTCTTTAGCCATACATCTTTTTTGTTGTTTTTTGCACTTGTTGTGTAGAAAAGGCTTGCCTGGACCTCAAAGGGGTTTACTTGCCTCTCCCAAGTGCTGATATTACTAGGGTGCTCCATCAGTATACCATATATTGGCAAATACAAGTATATTGGCTAAATAAAATAAGTCTTAACAAATAACCAAGCTGGTCATGTAGCCTAGACTAGCTAATAATTTCATGTAGCTTATGGGATCTTCCTTAGACACCAAATGCAGCATCAACCTCAGCCTTCTTAGGTCATTCAGACAACAACAGGGATCTGGAGACATGTCTTAGCAGTTACTCTTTCTTGTGTAAGGGTTTGTTTCTATTCCTAGCACCTACATGATGGCTTACATCTCTCTGTAACTCCAATTCCAGGGGATCCAATGTTTTCTGGCTTTTGGCCAGGTATGTGGTACATATACATGCAGGCAAAATAGTTACATACATAAAAATTAAACAAAACAAAAGACAAAAGGTCACACTCTGCTGAGGAAAAGATCAGCAAGCTTTTGGATACAGGGACAGAGGCACAGAAAGGCTCATTCTCAAACAGTAGACTTTCAACTAGTCACTTGTTGTTACCAAATTATTCTAGTTTTTACCTTAGTATGTGACACCAGAAGGTGGATTGTTTTTGATGCAAGGAGTTAGCATATATTGTCTCAGTGTTCTAAAAATAGATTCTAATTTCTGTTTATTCTCATTTACTCTTGGTTCTCTAACTGCTTGCTACACCCCTCCCCATAAAAGTAGCTTGTTGTTTCTTATAATGTATGTTAGAGTAGCCTAGTTAATTAGCCAGTATACCATCATCACAAAGTTTCTAGGAAAAAGTATATTTAGTTCTACATGTGTATCCATATACAAATGTCGTGCGACCAATTTAAGCTCATCCCCAACTAGCTTACAAATAAATGGGACTCAGACTATGGTTATTTTATTTGGCTTTGACAACTACTGGGGCATAACCCCTAATCTACTCTTCAAAGTGCAGACTTGGCTACCTCCCCAGTAGTATACCCCAGATACCCCAGGTACTTACTGTTTCTCCTGCCATGTGCTCATGGTTCCTCTCCCTTCAGAGTAGTTTTCGCCTCCTTCTCTTCCTCTCACCTCGTGGTCTCTCTTCCTCCAACCAGTTGACTCTAAACCCAACTATCTCTAATCCCTCTAGTAATTGGCTGTAACCAATTTTATTTAACTAATAGTTTTAAATCAAAGAACAAGGTTTGCACAACAAAAGTTTGTAAACAAGAGAGCTTCAGGTATAGAATGTAGCATTATAATACACAGCAACAGACCAAACGTCAGCAACAACATTGGAAACAATCTGCAGCCTGTTTTAATGCTATTTCTTTGATCCCTGTAACCTTGTAAAATGGTGGGCATAGTGGCCTGCACTTATAATCTGAGCTCCTGGGAGATAGACAGGAGGATTCTGGGACCACCTATCCTAGGCAGTTGGTTAGCTCAGGCCTATGAGAAACCCTGCCTCAAATAGTGACGGATGAGAACTATATTTATCTGTAGTCATGAGCATAAATAATTTAGAATGTAGTTTATGGTGTAGGATTATGCTGGCTTAATAAAGTGGTTGTAGGTTCTCTAAGATCCATCACTTCACTAGCCCTGGGTAGTTGGCTAGGTTTCTCATAGCATTCACGATTTCTTTTGTTGAGTGGATCTTACGTCCAATAAGAGAGCTATTGGTGACTGCTAAGGTAATCCCTCTTGTATCATAAGGTTATCTTGCCACGCTGGTCATTGTTTTGTGGTTCATACCTCATAGCTGGGTGAGATGGTTGCTTCTCCCCTTAGGAAGCTTGTATGGTACCTTGTATGGGATTAAATGTGTGCTACTACTGCCTGGTTAGGAGGTTGTATTTATATATCTAGGCATATATATACTGTATTAACCGTGCAGGGTTCTCTGGAGGAAAGACTGATGGTACATGTATCTGGGTTTATTGGAGTGGCTGTGATCCCATTAGTCCAACAGTCACTATCTCCTTACAGAAGCATCAAGGACCTGTTAAGTCCTTGAGACTGGATGTCTCAGCAGCCCCTAGACAGGTGCCAGTCTTTTTAGTTTACACTGGAATCCCAAAGAAGTTGTAACACCCACCAGTGAAGGAATACAAGAGCAACAAGACAGAGTGAGCGCAAACAGGGAAAAAAGTTTCCTCCTTCTATATCTTTATGTAGGCTGCCACCAGAAGGTATGGCCCATTTAGGGTGTGTCTTAGGGTTTTACTGCTGTGAACAGACACCATGACCAAGGCACCTCTTACAAGGACAGCATTTAATTGGGGCTGGCTTACAGGTTCAGAGGTTCAGTCCATTATCATCAAGGCGGGAACATGGTGGCATCCAGGCAGGCATGGTACAAGAGGAGCTAAGAGTTCTACCTCTTCATCTGAAGGTTGCTAGCAGAATACTGACTTCTAAGAAGCTAGAATGAGGGTCTTAGGATGGGTGTGTCACTCCCACAGTGACACACCTACTTCAACAAGACCATAACTTCAAATAGTGCCACTCTCTGGGCCAAGCATATTCAGACCATGGCAGGGTGGGTCTCCACCTCAAATGACCAACTTGAGA